GATATAGGTCTCTTTATAAATAACCACTTTGATCTGGCGACCATCCATAGTTAGATACCTGATGACGTCAGATTAACGAGATATGATATTCATTTATATCGTCGATGAAGAGGGCACTGCCCTAGCCTTTCCATGTTCAATGAAAGTGGTGAGCAAACTCTATTTTCGTCCGATCAGCAATTTTGCAAGCCGATCAGCAGTTTTTCGGACTTATTCCATTTGCTCCTACCACGTCCAGTGCCTTTCAAAAGCCCGCCTCTACTATACACCTCAGTAATGGTTGAATTTGGGTGCAACATCGAGGCAAGTGGGTGTTGAGACCGACTCTAAGGCCGGAAGATTCAGAAGAAAGTGCGTTCAGAACCTTCGAAATTCACGGTATGGCCCCGCATTTGTTATCGGCCCTCATCATACTCATGAAAGTTTTACGATAACTTCGTTTCTTCCTACACCACTGAAAACGCTATTGTGTGAGGGCAGATCAGTTCTGATCAGAGGCAAGGGAAACGCTGCAATATTGGCGAGAACTAGTGTATATGAGTGTTGATAACATGGAAGACAAATCGAGTTGATCTTCCGACCTCGCTGAGATCGCGTTGCCATCCTCCCTTTTTAGACTTTTGAGTTTTTCTTCGTTCTTGTAAACTTGATTCACTGACGACTTATAACGCAACGTGTTGCTGCTATAATCAAATGTTTTGATAGAACTCTGTCTCGTCCCCAAGTGGACCGAGAGGACAGTCTCAGTCGGTCTTACTTGACTGTTCTTACGGAAATATCCAGGGACACTTTCTTCCAATAGAGTGTGACATAACATCGCTCAAAATTTCGAAAAGACTGAACATTGTCCTAGCCCTGCAGACCCCGGAAGTAGTTGTTGTCGAAGAAAAATAAGCTCCAGCACATCTCATGCGACTAGGTATGTTGCAGTTTGGTTTTGAAAGATATAGAATCATATCAAAATCTGGAATGAGGAAAGTTACGCACGAAAAGTCGTTTGTCAATTGATTTTTGTCCGCTACTGTATCACTTATCTCCCCATCTGCCATAGGCGAAGGATCATATGTCTGTGCATTTCAGATTAGCAAAGAACAACACCTTCACTGAAGGCAGAAACCAGCGATTATTCGCCATCCCAGATAGTGGATTAGGGGTTCCATATAGACCGACAGGGTTGCACTTAGTTCAACAGGAAAGAAAAAAAAGCACAAAAAAATATGCCACCTGCCCTAATAAACCCTATCAAAATCCCAGTATTGCGACTGCCCAGTTAACACTACGCCCTCATACGCAGCCGCTGAATTCGCCGACCGATGAGAACTCTACGACCCTACAAGTGACGATTTTCATGCTTTTCGTTCCGCAATCTCATTTTTCACTGGAAGCCGGGCATTGAAGGCGGAGTCTGGAGGCAGAGTCACTGGAAAAAAGGAAGAACCACTGGACCTATATTGCGCTTTATCGCGCCCCTTGTTTAGAGTTTTTTGCCGCGAAACCGGTACAAGGTTGTTCGTCGCGGGCCACTCTAACCTCCTGACGCCAACCATTTTTATTCTATTTTCAACTTCGATACCTGATGGCAGACCATGCCTTTAAGATTATTGGAAATCGAGAGAATGATGCCCTGTCTTTTCACCTTTACGCAACTATTAGTTCTCGATCGTGAGCCGCAGCTTCTCCAAATATAAAACTGCTCGAACATAACCCAATTACAACGTTACCTGAAATCACACAAGCAATAAACCTTTCCACAACAACTTACGAAAATAAAACTTCTAGGTTCTCACCTAACTCTTGTATTTATGTTGACTTCACTACGACATTTCTGAAAAAGAAGCAAGCAAAGTGTGAGAACTAAATGGAAAACGATCAACAAGCAAGGGAAAGACTAAGTATGCATGGATACAACTGCTGAATTGTGGGTCATTTGTAAGAACAACATCTGCATACTTATTTATTGGCATAATTCACTATCAGCACGTCAACAAAACTGTCCATCCATTATGATTTTTACAACTGCATGTATACGTATCTCGAGAAGCTAAGCATACACAGTGTTTTCGTTGTACCCTAGGAAATAAATGGCTGGAGCAGGCATGGCACTAGTATTGATGGACTCGTAAACGGTAAAAATGCATGACATAGGGCAATATTGAGGTCTCTATCGAAATGACCGCATAGAAATGAGCAATACATATGTGAGCATTGAAAACGGGCTTGATTGCACGCTCCTAATCGCTTACTTAGAAGATCTACCGAAGAAATCTTAATAAGGCAGAGAATAGGAATCGTTCATATAGAATAAATGCCTTCAAATACACCTGGTAACACATTTCAAGATGAGCAATGATTTGAGAGAATAGCAAAGTTAGGAACAACAACTGAAAGAGAAATACTAAAATGCTCCATCCGGTGACTTAATAAAACTCTGTAAAAAATCAAATCACAAAGATAAGCACACGCACTAAACACCGGAATATATCACCCGGTAGCATACACCGCTAAAATTACACCCAAAAAACTCCAAACGAGTTTTCCCACCCCATCAAACTGATAATGCGATACCTGACTGATACCGAGTTCCTCTGCCTTGCTCCAATTCCTCAGCCGTGAGCTCAACGAGAAGTTATTGAATTGTGTGTTACAGGGACTGTCATAAAGCTACTGCCCCGACGACTTGGCAGCTGGCTTGTGAAAGTCACAGCATTGATACGGACGAGGAAGCTTCTCAATCAGATCGTCGGAACAAAGTGCCCAAGTGCTGGCACCAGAGCAGGACAACTCTGATCTGGAGGAAGAAGGGCAGCGCAGCATACTCTTGAACCACCGTCCAATCTTCCACAGCATAAAAATCTTTGAGCGAATGGTTGACGATCAATTCGTGACATCGTTCAACTTTCTGCTTACCAGTGGCCTTCGTGACCGGCTGTAGAACACTCGAAGTCATACATGCCGCTCGCCTTCTGCTGCAGAAACATCGAGGGAAGCAAATGCGTGTGCAAGTACCTTTCTAGACCTGAAGGCATGTCATCGCGTTCCTAAAAACGTTATATGGCACGACCTGCAATACGGCGCCCTCGAAGAGCTTAAGTGGGTGCGCATCCGTTTTTTAAACCCACAGAGCCAAGTCTTCGATGGAGTTTCTTGTCACTGTCGAGGTAGATCAGGGCTCCGTGCTCTCCCCACTCCTTTAAGATGTCGTCACGAATGCCATCATTTGACTCTCAGAAGAAGTTCCTTGGACGCTTCTTTACGCTGATGATGTGAAGCCTGCATGCGAAAATAAGAGTACGCTGGAACAACAGGTACAAGCTTGAACTGATCGCCGGGCGAAATTTGGGCTTAAGTTGAAAGTTAAGAAAAGCGAGTACTCGACAACGGACCCAAGCGAGATGGGCTCCATCAAAATTGATGGCACTGAGGTCACTCGTACTAAAACATCACGGATCACCAATTACGTCCGACAGAGGTCAGAACTCAGAAGTGAACGCAAGTGTGACGCAGCGTGGTCGACATGCCTGGAATCCTTCGTGAAAAAAGGATGTCAGAGACCTCAAGTCGAAGATCCACAGAAATGTCGTTCGGCAAATCGCCCTAAACGGTGCTGAGTACTGACCCGCAACCAAAGACGTCGAAGCCCGTCTCAGTGTGATGGAAATGAGGACGCTGAGTTAAACGGCAGGCGCCACGTGTGAACCGAGTCCAGTATAGCTCCTATAGCTGACAAAATGCGAGAGACGGCCTTCAATGGCACGGCCATGTACTTCGCGCAAAGGCTGACACATCTGTATGACTACCTCTCAGCCTTAGATGCCCGCAAGACGGCACAAGGGATACCCGATACGCTGCATTTAAACTTGAAAATATTTGGAATCCATCCAGATTAGACATTTAATCGGCAGAAGTGGCGTCATCATATTAGAAGGGCGAACCCTGCTACCAAGTGGGATAAACGGGAAAGAGTAACAGGGAAGAAGTATGGACTGTCAAAAAAGACGCGCAGAAGTGAAGAAATCGTCCACCTAATTTCTCGGTATAACTTTAGCGGCGAGTATCTGCTACTAGCTAAAAAGCTTAACTAAAGAAAAGAAATGTGAAACCTGGAAAAATGGTAAAAAAAATTAAAACAAACTGATTTGAAATGAACACAAGCGACTAAGGAACTGTTTCAAAACCGAAAACTCAACGAAATTCCTAGGACGATAGTTGGTCACCACCAGTCACCACTTCGGTAGATGTTTGATGAAGGACGTACCAGTCGTGGACGTACATAAGAGTAGCAAGTGGTTGCCCAAGGATGAGAGACAGCCAAACGATCACGTTCCCTGTGAATATTTCGAATATATCACTTTTTCTTCAAATCCTACACTTTTCAGACCAAATTCATTACTTTTCAACCTAATCCAACACCTTTCAAATCGAATACGCTACTTTCAGGATAAAATTCAATCCTTTTCAAACAAACTTCAGGACCTGTACGTCTGTTCGAGCATACGTTCCGCTATGTGACTTACTTAATCTAACTTAATTGAGCGTAACCCAAGGTCAGAAAGGCATTCGTGATGGTAACAACACCATCAGACGGGTTTTCCTGCGCTCTTCAAATCTGCTCCCAAAATCTGCAAAACGATATCGAGAACACAGTTGAAAAATGTTTTCGTTTCACATGGTACTGCAGGAGGACTGGAGGCGTCCTCCAGCTCAATGGCTTTCGTGAGAGTTGATGTTGAGAATGAAGGAGCAGCTGTCATGGGCCCTGCTCACAGAAAATCATGGGCTCTGCTCATAGCAATATCGGCCATGGGATCCCTACTTTCGTCGCCAGCATTCCAACGATGGCTTGCCTTCTGACGAAATTCACTTTTAGATAATAGGAAACTGGAGCATTAACAGAATGAATGTATCAGACATGGCAATTTGAGGCTTTGAACAGCAGAATTTATCTGTAGGTGGGTAGTGATGTGAAAATTTGAACTGTACCGAATTGGTGCTCCTCCCCTCAAAACTAGGTTCGAGATTTTGCTTAAAAAAAACCTATCAGGAGTAGTTTGCTCTCTTGAACAGCAATACGATAATATACTGGCACCAAAATTCATGCAGCATACCCAAGGGACACTGGCGTGAAAGTGCTGCAATTTGATTTGGAAAACGTTGAATTTACAGCGAAAATGGTCATAAAGAAACAATTTAGAGAGTATCGCAAAGCAAGTCCGAATGTGAATCTAGATTTTGTCGGAAATAAGAGAAGAAGAAAACCGCAAATTTTTGTCTTATTGTTCTAGTATGTAAAATATTGCATTCGTGAGGAACGGAATACCTGCTCGACCACCCTTAATAACGTAACTGGTTATAAAGGTAAGTGGAATTTGTGCCATCATGCCGTAGTACGCCCATAATCGGAACATGTGAAGAGGAACAGACACCTTAAAAAGAGCTTGACTGAAGAGCCATGGAAACGATACTGTTTCTCAGTGAAACTTACGAGATATTCATGAAAGAAAGCAGACACGAAGAATACCTACAGTCGTGGCACTGAACTTACTGAAAGTGATCAAATGAACTACAACTCACAATTCCATTTACTATAAAAAGCTAAAGGCTCGATGTTCGATTAGGCTCCTGGAAAGTAACCAACAAACTTGTAATTATTCCGAATCATAGGAAAATAGATATGTCGTGCAGCCCAGCGGTGGACTGGTATATTCCATGTTCGCCAAAAGTACTCAGTAGTCTCCGAGTTCCAGAAATCACTAAAAAATGAAAATCTACTAATGACGCAATTACTGCAATTAAACTGATGAAATAAAAAAGAGTTGCGGTACAGAGAAGAAAATACTTTTTCTTGAGTCTTCTGGCAATATCATAAAGTTTCTAGATTAGAATGTGGAAATCCCTCACTGGCGTGATATCAGCTACCCAAATTATACCCACCGCCTCATATTAGGCCCCGCTCAGACTCTGCAGCTGCGTAGACTCTGTGAACTGAAAGAATCCGCAGATTGTTCGAGAATGTTTTTCTCGGACCGCGTATTCGAACTCTCCCGGTCAAAATTCGTGGTATTAGGTGTTCTATGGGTTCTCCATGCTAAATGAAACCGTTACAACAAAAACTAGCTGGCTCTCTACACCTCCATGGTTATTATAACCTGAAAGAGTCGGGGAAATGATTTCCATCGCAATCACTATCTTTAGCGACATGCAGTACAACTAGCGGAACATACCGGTAAAATTCCCTGTCAGCAAATTTTAGAACCTCCGCAATGAAGTTCAGAAAAGAGTGGAACAGGGTATAAAAACCAATCAACCAAATCACTATATTAGGAATGGCCAACTTTAGAAGCCTTTCCAAGCATCTGAAAACAGTGTGGATTGCTCGCAGCAAACGCCTCTAAGCAAATGAAATCGTTAGGAACCTTCCGAGTTCCATTTCGTTGAGCGGACGCATACTGTTGTGCACAGTTGGAACAATCCACTGCTGTACCAGAGCTGCTAACAGGAAAGTAAGGAAAACCAACTAAATTTTGAGAGTAAGTGTGGCTAAAAATTCATCACAGAACTCAAAGATACACAAAGGAAAGAACTACCTCAATAAACCTTTTGATAAGGAAACTCTTACGCCGCCGAACAGAGCGCGGAAATTTTAGCTCGTAACAGAGTGTTGGAGCCAGCATAAAGTAATAGAGATTACACAGATTCAAAGAAGCCGGATAAAGCGAAGCCATTTCCGGATGTGAAATCTGCAAGTCATCGACTAGAAAGCTTAATCTGAAAAAACAGAAGTGTTCCAGTTAACTGACCTACCGCCTGAGCTTGAGAGTGTTAGCAAATTCCAGAACAAACGTTCTAGCCAAGCCTCTCTGTTCGTGAAAGCTCGGATTTTTAGTTATGTTAAACGTTTTCTTTCGCACCAGTGGAGTTGTTAGGTGAAAAAAATTCGCTAAATGTCTGTATTTTGGCTACTTCGCCTTTAGCAAGGGCTAGTCCACTACTGAGTGAGCGGAAAATCATCATCCCATTGGTAGTTAGCACGAAAAACTATTCGACGAAGGTGCACTGAGCCAACGGTGGATACGATAGAGCCGAAATGTCAGACCGCTAAGAGTTCCACTCAAAGCTTACAGTTCCACTTAAGCTCCAGTCTGCGACCCTGCGGAATCAGAAAACGAAGTACTAGGCTGATGTTTATGTTTTTAACCCCGACTTTTTTGTAAATTTGATCCTTCCGTATTTCGTTTGCATGGATGTTGGTATTCGTCATCACGTGTGCGTGACGTGTACATGATACTCTTTCATCACACTAGCTATCACTCACCCACCCTGCATAGGCCACAATGCCGCACAATTACCACTGTGAAATCATGTCACAGTGGTGATTGTGCGGCATTGTGGCCTTCTTCGGGTCCCAGCCCCCGTCCTTCTGGGAGGATGGAATCGACAAGCTGCCTGAGCGTTGGCGTCGAGTAGTGGATGGTGATGGTGCATACCTCTAATCTTCAGGCTGGTTCGCTATTGAGATATTTACAAAAAAGTCGGGTTAAAAACATATGCATGAACCTAATAGATTGTGCAGATGGTGAGATGGGGAGAGTGCGCGAAGCTGGCTTTCGCCCTCCTCTTTGGGCTGAACTAGCGAAATCCATAACAATCTTGTTCTTTTCGTAATGCCGCCAAATTCATCCACTCGGTCCGCCGACTCGCCCTACCGATACATATCGGAACTTTTGCCGAATTTACCATGAGCGATACTCGTTTGCCAAAAGAAAACATTTAACATATGCTATTGATCCTCAGTTAGGTTACCAATAAAGACATACAAAACCGACCTCGGGTCTCGTGACATCATCCTTTTTAGTGGCAGCCTTCTCTAGACGCGCACATCTGCACCAGTAGTTCACATGAACATAGGACACTAGTTTCAACGACTCGACTACAAAAACGGATAGAGCGCAGATAGAGCATACTGGGTTGCCCTGCAAGTACAACCTCAAGCTCACAATAACACTTGATATGTGGTGGTTGCACATAAATAAGGAACAGTTTGTCTACGATTATCAGTGTCATGAGTATAATCACCAAACAGTTGCCCATTAGGCTATGTTCATACCTTGTGTCAGCGTGCCCCACAGTGGCAACGAGTGTGCGCCAGCGACTAGGAAAGTATAGATTTCAAAAAAAAGCCACGTCAGCGTATACCAGCGATGTGGAAAGAATGGAGATCGATCTAGCCAACGCCAGCGTTCGCGGGCGATTCGAGCTTGAGCAAAGCTCTCTCGATATCCGTTTGCTCGTCGCTGGCGCTAGCCTACGCTCGAACCGCTGCGGTACTCTGGCGTACGCTGTTGCAAAGTATGAATGCAGCCTTACGCGAAGGGAACGAAAGCGAGATTAGTCAAGTTGGCAATTACTGAAATGCTCGGGAATCATCCGAAAGGAAGTTTGTGTGTTGGAAAAATTCGAAGATTCTAAGACCATTACCTTCAAGACCAGAGTGAATGCAGCAGGAATAGCCAAATGCGCTGGGATAAGGATAGAATAAAACACAGTAGCAGAATAGTTGCTCAAGTAGCCTTTTTCTGAAATATTATCAAATAATCTTAGTAGAAGAACTAGGACTAGAATGGGGACTAGAATGGTAAGTGCAAATTCCACTCGTTCTATCACGATTTTACGCTTTCTTCTAAAACAACATTGACGACCAAAGAGTATCACTCCACCTGCTGTTAATGGGGTTTCACTAAAAGCCTTATCACTGCATATAACGAAAAGGCCCACCTTCCCTATGATGACAGGCTCTATCACGATTTCCTCACGGAAAGACTGAAGATGGCTTACTTAACATCTCATGTTCAGATTTCTTACCATACGATTACGACGATTCGATTACATGCCTCCCACAGAGCAAACCCTTCTTCCGCCAGTGGACCTAGTAATGGGACTCAAACTTATCAGTTTTCAAGATGTTCATGTTACTAATGGTACTACTGTTCATGTTACTAATCGTACTACAACTGGCCAATGAAATATTAAACAATTACTGCGAATAAAAGGCTCATGAGTTCTCCAATTCGCGCACACAAATAACGCAGCAGCGTACTTACCAAGAATCTTTTCCATCATGAAAACAACCAGAATTGTGATATTTGAAAGCAGAACCATGGCCAGGTTTGGCCAGTTCCATATAGACGCCTCCTCTACCATGAATGACATCCATTTTATTGGAGATATGAGTATACCGTACTTGATGAGGTTTTCTAGCGCCACTCTACCGTTGGACACAACCTAAAATTAAGACAAAAATAATGATTCTAACAAAAATTAGAATATCTCAAAGATCAACAAAAATTGTGAATAATCCAACTATATTAAAGGAGTTGAATACCCGCCCCATCTTTCTATTCTGACGGCACGATGGCTATCCGATTTTCTAGGCAAGCGAAAGCACCGTCTTCATTCGTCCCCGTGGAAAACCAATACTTCAAGGAAGTCTCTTGCTAAGGAAAACGTCTGACCCAGGTGTGACGCAGCTGTCATCTTGACCGACCTGCCTCCCTTCCTTTCACTTTTTTTAC